AAGAAGAAGAAGCATACAAAAGTCCTGTGTACTACGCAGTGTGAACAGGATTGTTTGTTTTTGTTTTCTTTGGTACTGGGAATTAAACCCAGGGCTTTCACACTAAGGTACATCCCTAACATTTATTATTTTGAGACAGGGTGTCTGTAAGACCACACTGGGTTTGAGTTTGTTATCCTCCAGCTTCAGCGCCCACTGCCATGCTGGGATTACAGGCATGTGCCATCACGCCCAACTCTAGCAGCATTGTTTCTAATAGCAAAAAACAAACAACCCCAAACAGGAAACTTTTCCTCTGAAAGTATACACAGATGCTTCATAGTTTTTCTTGGGGGAGAAGAATGGGATAAAGGGAGGAGTATGGAAAAAAGATATTAATATATATATGTGTTTATAAATATTTATTAAGTACATTTTATATTTTTATGTAGTTTATACTGTTTATACCCATTGCTTTTGTTTTAAAGTCTACTGGTAGATAGGGGATCAGTAATAAAGCAATAAAAGGAATTTCTTCCTGTTTGGTTGAGCATAAATTCATCTTTGAGCTTCCTCATAACGAAGTTAAAGAGGAAACTTTGATAAGGAAGTACAACATGCACCAGGAAAGAGAAACATTTTCTGATGCTGTTCACTGACAGGAATGTAGCTCATAGGAAATTGGTCTAACCCTAGCTTTGCTTTTGTCTGTCCTCAGCCCAGCTTAAAATGCACTGGTGAGTCCGTATCCCTTTTTCCCCATGTCTAGACTGTGTCCATCTGCTGGCCTCCCCTCCACATGTCCATAACACTCCATGCAGTGGCCTTTCTATATACAGATGTGAGTTTAAAATACAGTCAGTGTTTAAATTTTTAAAAGATTATTACAATAAAAGATATATTATTGCCATTAACTCCCCTCAAAATACTCCTCACTTCAAACACATTTATCCCATCATTCTTGCCACTTTCTGAAGCAGTTCTAGAAGTCTTCTTTCATGAGTATCTTTAGTTGCACTCTCCTGGCTGCCTCAGTGTCCTGAATCAATTCAAAATGTTTACTTTTCATGGTCATTTTAGGGTAGAGCCACGAGTCACATAGTGCCAGAGCCAGTGAAAAAAGTGAATGAGAACAGATCATGTTTTTATTGCTAGAAATTGCCATAAATGTTTTGTGATCAATTCATATCTTGAATGTTTAAACTAAAAATTTTATTACAGTAAAAGATATACTGCCATTAATCCCCCTCCAATTATTTAAAATGCCCCCCCCGCATTTCGAGCATGCTTGTCCCATTGTTCTGGCAATGTGTCTTTTATTGCAGTTTTTTTAATTTAAGCTTTCACCATACGTCTTGATCACTCTTTGTATTATTCCTTCTGCCTAGAGTGTTTTCTCTTGTCTCACTAGTTACTGGCTATGGCCCTTGATTTTGTTTTTTAAGGTGTTTCAGTTGTTTGTATCCTTCAGTGGGAACCCTCTGAGGATGAGTGCCCCTCCCCTTTGTTCCCAAATTCCCTTAGGCCTACCTCAGTAATGGAACTTGTCACACCACACTGTATTATTTTGTTTTCTCTGCTTCTTACACAACTTCTTCAGGTTAGAATACTGCACTGTTTGACACCCTGATGACCCATGAGAAATGGAATCTGTAATCTGAAGTGGGGTCCTACCCACCAGTTAGCTGTGTGGGCAAATTACTTTGCTCTGGACTTTGATGTTTACATCCATGCAATGAGAGATGTGGCTCAGATAATCTGAGAGAACTCTGGCTCTGATTGTTTTTTTCTTCCTCTGTGGTTGTTATATTGTCCTGTGTATGTATATAGAGAGAGGTTGTTACCAGCTGTCTTGCTAAGTAACTTCAAAGTTTCAGAATTGAGCTTGTTAGAATTTACTGCATTCATTATGGCCTATCCCACACCTGTTCACCAGCTGAAGCGATCAGAGCACATCCAGCTTGCTTGGCCCAGGATTGCAGAACTGATTACACCACTGCCCCACCTCCAGTCTTCTCTCCTTGGTGCACACAGAGGTCAGATGGCTTTTCCCTGACCACTTCCAAGATGTCCCCTCTTACATTCCTTTCTGTTATGGTTGATACATTTTGTCAATTGGAAGAGTCTGTAGGCTTGGCTAAGTGACTCAGCGGTTCAACATCCTGGGGTGAAAAGGACATGCCTCTACTGCTCTGGGATGTTGTTCATTGTGTCCACTTGAGAAGTTTAGAAGGTTAACTATGTGACTCAGCAGGGGCCAGGGTCTTTACTTTGTGAACATCCTCAGCTTGTGGAAGAGGAGGGCAGGAGGTGGTATGGGCGTAGACAGATAGCCGATATAAAATATAAGGAAGGAAAAGAGACTTGTTTTTCCCCTTGTATTCCTGCTGCTTTTGCTGTCCTCTGCTGCCTTAAACTGTTGCCCTCTGCCATGTGCCATTCTGCCTTGACCCAGCCAAGTATGGGCTGAAACCTCCACAAACTGTGAGCTAAATAAACCTTTCCTTCGTTAATTGTGGGCATCAAGTATTTTGTCCTAGCAATGAGAGAAAGGTAACTAAGACACCTTCTCACCCTGAACTGAGCCCTCATGGCTGACTGTCCTTGCCCTAGGGTCGTGGTGTTCTTTGCCTTCCTCTACTGCAGGTGATCATAGCAGGTGACATTGTACCTCAATCCCACCTTGACACAGAGCCAAAAGAAAGATACTGGAGATAACCTTCAGTCTCAAGAAGATACATAATACCTCCGAGCACAGCATATTTTAAGAAAACTTTGTTTTTATACCTAAAAAATTAAAAATATTTTATTGAAACTGATGGCTCTATAGAGAAGAAAAAAACTATCCAGTTACTCTCAAATGTGAATACTTCACATTTAAGACCATTTTGTAACTGAAAGGTTTGAGAGCATGTTATCAATGAGAAGATAATACTCTGAGTTGGGGATAGGCAATACTGTATATACAAAAATACGTAAGCCATTTTTAAAAAGACACACAAGTTGAGAGTGGTTGTTTAGGCCCCATCATCACCACTAAAACTTTGTGTTAGAGAGCCTGCTTTCTTGCCATTCATTCAGCAAGCATTTCCAAAGCACTGACTATGTGCCCAGGAACATAGTTTTGAATCTGGGAATATAGCTATGAATGAAGAAGACTAAAATCCCTGCCTTAGTGAAATTTATATTCTAATTGAAGGAAAATGGTAAACAAAATAAAAATAAACTGTTTGTGAAGGTAATACATGATAAAGAGAAAAATAAGGAGACAAGAACTTGAGATCCTCCTGCCTTATTCCCAGTAGTGCTGGGATTACCGTGTGCACCACCATGCCCAACAAGGGACGTTGCATTTTAAAATAGGGTCATCAAAGGAAAGCCCTGCTGAAAGGTTGACAGTTCAGTAAAATTCTATGTGAAGAGGAAGCGGTACAGATAACTGGTACGGAGCATTTCAGGCAAAGAAGCAGCAAGTGCAGAGGGCCCAAGGCAGAACATCAGAAGCAGCATTTAGTCTGAGTGAGTCAGGGAGCCATCGGAAAGTTTTAAACAGATTTGACTTCAGATTTTAACTTAAAAGATCATTCTGGCTGCTCTGTGGAGATTAGACCAAAAGGAATGAGAGTGGAAGCAGAGAGACTACTATTGAATATTCTGAGCAAGAGAAGAGGGCACTGTGGATCAGAGTAATACCAATGGTGGTAAAAGAACCAGGCACCTGGATATAACCTGAAGGTAAAGCTGCCTAGAGTTCTTTATAAGGGGCATCACTGTGCTGGAAGCTTGTGAAAAGAAGAGCCTGGTTGCCATGAACTAAATGGAAAAGGCTACAGGGAGCAGATTTGGGGAGAAAGGTCAGGAGTTCACTTTTGGATGCGTTAGGTGGAAAGGACCTATTAGACAACTGAGTGGAAGGAGCAGGTGGAGAGTGCAGGGCAGCCTTCACAGGACAGGGCTGACCTTCAGGCCCAAGTCTGTGAGTCTCAGTTTGTACATGGTTTCCAAGGCCATGGAATAAGATGTGCTCACTGGGAAGTGAATATTGATAGACGATAGATGTCTGAGGGTTGAATAAGACTGGGGAAATGAGGAGGTGGGGAATGCTTATGAAGAAAAACCACACAAGCAGAAAATGATATCTGTGCTATAGTCAAAGAAGTAAGAATGCTTGCTTATGGCCTCACTTACTAGTCAAGTGGCTATGGCAAAGTAACTTTGGTATATGAAGGTGCTCTTTGGTTTTCAAATAGAATCTACAGTACTTTATTTCAAGATAAACTTTGCTCTGCCATTTTCTCTGTGAGTAGACTCCTTTTCAAGGTCATTATTGTAGGATTTTTAAAAATTCTTTTTAAAGAAAAGAATCTCTTCACAACTGAAGCCTATAATATCCCCTTCAATTGCCCTCTTTTACCAAGGGCAGAAGAGTAGTGTTTTATGATAGAAGTTGCTGGGTTATGGGCACTCAGGAAGCACTGAGCTGGTCTGAAGTGCTTGCAGTCCAGCTACTTTTAACACAAAGTGACAGTTTTAGCTGCACCAGAATGCAAGTGATAGTGCTGGGACCCTATCACATTTCTTATTTAATTCCAGGGCATTTACTGAGGAAAGTTATAATGTAATTTGAGAATTCAGTGGAACATTTCTTAATTATTTGCTTACATCATGACTGGTATTCATATTCTGTTCACAGGTTATTTCTGCAAATGGGGGATTAGTTTGAGGCTCTATTGTGGACAATAAAAATTAACTCCAGGTAGGATAGAAATTCTCATTTAGTTTTGACTTGCTGGCTCGAGGTGTACTTCAAGATATCATCCCTTTTGACTGTATGTCTTGTGCAATGTGTGAAGATCAGTTCAGTTTTCCAGTGACAATTGAGGCTCTTGTCTTATTAATCAATAGCTGCAGTCAGAGAAGGCCTACTTATTCCTCCTTCAGTAGAACCAGACTGGGCTTGGAGAGAGGTAATAATTACTGCTCTGATCTCGGCATGTTCTCTTTTCTCCTTCCCAACCCAGAGCATGTCTGTTCGATCCTGGCTTCCCTCCTGCGCAACCTAAGAGGGCAGCAGCGAACCCGGCTTCTGAATAAGTTCACTGAAAATGACAGTGAGAAGGTGGGTGACAGTGGGGCTGTGAGGATGGGCTCTGGACTGGGAGGAATAGAAGGACTTCTTACCTGATAGGATCTACGGGGTACTAGGATGTATTTCTGCCCTAAAATATCTTTAGCTTCTCAGCCCCATTGCTTTTGATCTCAAAGGTTCTACTGGTTTGCTGTCTCTCATGTCCCAGAGAATTCTCCAGAAGTAAAAGTAATGCCTGAGAGTGATACAGTGGGCATGTTAGGGGGACTTTTAGACCCACCAAGAATGGATTATAATAGGATTTTGTGTCAGGTGGGGTGCACAGCATAGCAATGATTAGAGCATAGGCTTTGGATTCAGACACCTGGATTTCAACCTGCTTTTACTGCTTTCAGTGTGTGTGCCACTGTGAGCCTCACTTGCCCTGGCTTTAACATAGAGACCTTAGTGCCCATCTTGAAGAGTCAGTGGGAAGTGAATTAGATGAGGTTTTACAGGGTAGTGGTGATGAAAATAAGGTAACAGTCAGGAAACAGAGCCTGCATAGGTGGGCTGTGGAAGCTGCTGCTGATCCCTAACTGAGATTGGATGAGTATTTTATATTGTTATCTTGCATGCCAAGCCAAAAGATTTCAACAATAATGGAAGCTGCCACTTACTGAGTGACTGCTGTGGAGTGGGTAATAGAGCAGCTGCTTTTCATTGTTGCATATAATCTTCTAACACTGTGTGGCTTATCCATGGATAGGCATCACTCACGTTTCCAGATAAGGAAATTGAAGCTTAGAGACATCCTGTGACTTGCCCAAGATCGTGCCACTAATCACAGCAGATCTGGGATTTGAACCCAGGCTGCCAAGTGCAGAAAGCCTGTGCATTTTATTGCACTGTACATAAATAGGCAAGTTCAGATGAGTAAAATGAAATATTGTACCTTTTCTAGCCTACAATAGTTGCTTTCTTGCTTGTGTCCAAGGTAGGGCTGAAGCCTTTCCCTGCTTGGAGGGAGGTCTATGACTGTCTCCTTGGGCCCACCTCTGACCATTTTTACTGCCTTCACTAGCAGTGTGGCATGGCAAAAAATCATCAGGCTAGGATAACAGGACATCTTAGCAGTAATATGCATGGTGATGTCATTTAATACCTTTATTCCACTTTTCTCACCTTTAAATTGAGGTTGCATTGAGCTTCTCTGCTACTTTATCTGGGTGTTTTGTTTATCACTTAAGGAGATAATGGATGTGGGAATACTTTGTAATGTGAAATACATAAAATCCTTGGATCATCATTAGCTACAGAGGACACAGTCTTCCTGGACTGTCTGGAGCTGTACTAGAGCAACATTTCCAATTAACCAACATCAGCTCCTGGGCAAATAAATACCAAGGTTGCCAAGAGCCATGGTGGTGCTGGCCCAATAAAGTTAGGTTAGAAGCCTGGACTTGCTTCAGTTCTTTGGAAATCTTAGGGGAAAATGAAACTTCCAGATCCACAAAATGTTCCTCAGGCCCTGTTCGAAGCATGACTTTGCTAAGCCTCAAACTGATTTTTAACTTACTACTGTGCAAAAGTCGGCCTTTTTTCAAGTTGCTGAAGGGGTTTTTCTTGCACTCTCTTCTGACTCAAAAGCAACTAAAAAGATTTTACTCGGGCATTTTTTTAAAAAAAGATCAGCTCTGGAGCAGAATCTGAACATGAAAGGTTTCAGTTGGAAAAAAGAAATTTCTATAAAGTTCTAAGTGAATATCAAGTGTGTAACTTCAAGCACCTTCTCTTTGCGAGAAGGGACTTTAATTCTTATTTATTTATGTGTTTGTTCACAATTTGAATTCCTGGGAAGGCTGGGCATGCCTAGTCTCCACTGGGGAACAGACCTGTGTTCAAGCTGCATCCGTCCAAAGTATTTGCCATATTCCACTGCACCCCCCTGCTCCATTCCTGACATGTCCTTAAGCAGAACATATCTCCCATCAGAAGTGGTAGTGTGGTCTCTCTTAAGCAGCGACAGTGAGATGAGAAAGAGTGCCACTGTCCTCTTGCCTTGGTGTGCTCTTCCCCTCACTCATGTGTGTGAAATCACTCTCTTTCAGGTTGACAGACTCATGGAGTTGCATTTTAAATATCTGGGTGCAATGCAGGTGGCTGACAAGAAGATCGAAGGGGAAAAACATGTATGTATCCCTACCTACCTTTTGCCAATGTTGACTCACACCCATTTAGGCCTCTTGTATATCTTCTCTGTCTCTCTATAGGATAGATAAGGCCATGTGCCACCTACTGTGTTGTGAAAGCAAGGCAGATTACATTCTGTCAATATGTGTAATGCCTACCCCATTCTCCCACCTCCCACCAACAGCGTGACAATGTTTAGGAGGAAGGCTGTGTGAACTGACCCAGGTCTGTGCTGGGGATCTGGGAGGATAATAAGTACCTTGCACAATAGCTTCACTCAGAAGGTCTGGCCCAAATGCAGCATTGTGTCTCAGTGCCACGTTGGCAGTCGTCTTGGTACTCATGCTTGCCAGCTGCTGTAAACTTGGGCACCCTTCTAAGGGAGGGTGGTCCAGAATAGAACAGCTGGAAGGAGACTGAGAGGCCACTGAATCTAGTTCCCTCATACACAGATGGAAAACTAGAGGCCTAGAGAAGGAAGACCAGTGTGTGTTTCAGCTAAGCAAAGCCCCAGTATCAGCGTAGCTGACAACATTTTTTGAAGCTGAAATTTGCCAAGGGAAGGGCACCCTGCTAGATCTCCTTAAGGGGCTGGGTTTTCTATGGTAGTATGCTACCTTCTCTATTTCTCACCTCTTCCATTAAGTTCTTTGCCATCTCTGACCTCTGTAGCTTACTCACCGGGCTCCTTAAGCAGTGTGACTTTCCATGTCTACTGTTTAATGTCCAATTTGTGTTCTGTCCACTACAAGACGCTCCTCGGGCTGTGATCACATTACAGTGTGATCATTTCTTGCTTTTTTCACAGTCTGTAGCAGACCTCATTTTCCTTGTGATCTTGATCTACCAGATTACTCCATTCTCTTCTCAGTCTTCCTGCCTTCAAGATACACTTGAGGCTTCTGAACCTCACTGGCAGGAGATCTCACGTCAACACCACCGCTCCTAGCCTTATGCAGAACCCTTCACCTTGAGAAGGACGCTCGCATTCCCTCCAGCTAGGCCACATGCCTGAGAGCCAGGCTAGAGCTTGGCAAGAAGATGAGCCTGTTGCCTACGTCCTGTTTCTCTTCACTACTTCCTACCCAGCCCTCCCCTTTCACAAAACACACCTTCAGTTATAAAGACCAGTAGATGGTAACTGTGCTTTCCATTCTTGGGATTTCCCTGTGATCTCTAAACCTAGTAAGTGCTCAGATGTTTGCTGATTGATTAAATTGATTGACTGGGACTTTCTTCTTTTATACAGTGATACCAGTGCAAGATAAAAAGCAGAGTCTCTGAAGTCTGAGCTGGACCTCAGATACTGTGTTCAACACACAGTTCTTTCATTCCTGCACCCCACCTGCTTTGTTTTGTTCTTGGATTAAACTTTCCTCTTCCTATAGGATAATGTATGCATGAGGGGCACTAAATGACTGTAACAGTGCCAGAGTAAGATACCCTGTCTTTGTCCAAATAATTAGAATTGAATCAGTCATGAGACCATTGAGGCACCAGTCCTGAGGGAGATACAAGCTGCTGGAGTAGAGTTTGAGAGGTAGCTGGAGCAGTGCTTGGGAGGCAAAGGGCAGCACCTTGACGTCCTTGCTAGCTGTGGCTTGTTGCTGTGCCTTAGGGGACTTTGGCCAAGGCCTGTCACATCCCCATGAGCTTGATATTTTCCCTCACGTTTAATTAAACATCCTTTGGTAGCTCTCTGCAATTTTTGACAATGGAATGGATTAAAAGCACAGTGAGAGGATGTCCTCCTGCTAGCGGCCAGTGGTCTGGTGGAAACTGTGAAGTAAGTGTATATGGGGAATCAGAAAGCCCAGGGTTTAAGCTAGGGCTGCTACTTCCTACCTCTGAGCTCTCTGACAGCCAAGTTGATTTTTCGAAACTTTGGTTTTCCTGAAGTCTGTAAAGTGGGAACCTCCCTTTCAGTTATTATAAAAAGTAAGTATAAATTATATAAAGTACCTAGTTCTATAAGCAGGAGTCGCTGGTGCTGGTGGTAGATTTTCCTGGCTTCTGTTGGAATTCTCGTGCAACTTTTAAGTAAGCCAAGGCAGTCCTTTCCCTGAGCACATCCGCCTCGCCAGCTGCCCCAGAAGGTATCGCCCTGGCAGAATGGAGTATTGGCACATCCAGGGCTTTGTTTGAGGTGAAGTGTCAACATTTTGAGGGAGACCAAATAAAATGGTTTGGGCATTGGGGAGGAGTGTGCGTGTAGCTGCTATGAAATTTGGCCTACTTCCCACATGATTATCTATTATCAGCACTGAAGAGGGTGTGAAATTGATTAGCACTGACGGAGACTGATTGCTGCAGCCGCTCCCCCAGCACTCAAAGGGCTGCTGTGTGCCACAGGCATGGGCCCCTGCCATTCCCTGACAAACATCTGTCTCCTGGATGCCAAGGCCGTTTTGCTGGGCACTGGCAAACATTCCAAGGCCATTAGTGCTGGGCAGCCACAGTGCTGCTCAGAGAGCCAGGGTGGGCAGCAGGGAGGAAGGCATTTGTGAGCAGTGTTTGCTGCCAGCTCTCAGGCTCCATCCTGGCAGATAAAGCCACCTCACAGGTGTAAAGTGACTAAGAACAACAAGACCTCCTTTTCTCCTCTCCCTCAGTCAGTCTTTTCTCTTAAGTCCTAGTTTGTCTCTTCACCCCACTACATTTGGACATACTACACCAGTGGTGCGAACCTATGGCACATGTGTCTCAGCCAGCGTTTGTTATCATTGAAAGCTCTAATACTGTGGAGGTGAACCTATAGCACACATGCTGCTTTTCTTTTAAGACAAAAGTTATTAACGTATGAGTTGGTTTTTCTAAATTAAAACCTCAGTATTTGGGTTTAATTGCAGTGTTGGCACTCTGTAATAAATGTTTTTAGGGTTGCAGTTCGGGCACTCATCTCAAAAAGGTCCTGCAGGACTGCTCTAAAAGGTTTGCCATCGCTCCTGTACCATGGGGAGCACAGCACATAATTGTTGACTTGAATGGAATGCTTGTTTCTCAGGCATTTGGGTGACACTGACCATCAGATTAGTAATGAATAAATATCATATAGTTCCCTAAGTCTGCAACGGAAAACTTGAGATGATGGGGTCAGATATCGGCATGTTAAGTGTCTCAGAGGCACCCCCTGCCCTGTAAATCTTGGGTTTCTCTGGGCACACTGTAAGTCTCTGGTTTGCAATTGAGCAAGATTCACTAGAGAGAATCCAGTCGTTAGGTGAACGCTGGCCAGGCACCTGTCTGAAGTGGAAGGCCTATGTGCTAATAAAAGTAGGGACACAGGAGCAGAGCTGCTGCTGAGGGCCAGAGGATTGAGGGAGCACTGAGATCACCTGAACAGGTCTGTTAGTGAGTCAATCATTCACACTGAATAGATAGAGATGTCTGAGGCATTTCTAGTTTATGTAGGAACAGCAGAGTGGGCAAAGTGGGACACGAAACTGGGATGGGTGAGTTTTGTCCCAGGAGTGGAGAGTGTGAGAAAAGCATGGGCTCTGGGGCTGGGCTATTCTCTGGCTTTCTGACTGTGGACAGATAGTTTACCTGAAGATGTCTTAATCTGTATGTTTTGAGAAATTTTATAGGTAGTCATATGGTCATGTAAACACCAAATAAAAAAAGCTGCCCACAAAGGGTCTAACACTTAGAAGGTGGTCATAGAAATTCTTGTTTTCTTTTCTCTACAAGAGCTAGTCTCTTCCTCCCTGTCTTTCTACTTTCTCTTCCTCTTTCTCACCCTCTTTCTCTCGCTTTCTCTTCTCTCTCTCCTCTCTTCCTCTCTCCCTCCCTCTCTCCTTCTCTCCCTCTCTCACCTCCCACTCCAGTCTCAATTCCCTAGTTCTGCAAGGTTTTGCATAATCTGACTTCCTGATACTTCCCAACCCCCACCCCTTCCTCCAGCACCACCCTCCTGCCTTCCAGCCTTTATATTTGCTCATCTTGCGCCTGGGTTTTTTCTTCCTGCTGCCTCCTGCACTGTCAGATCTCAGCATAAATGTCACCTCCTCAGGGAGTCTTTCAGTGACAACCATATGTAAAGAAGCCCCCTTTCTGCCACTTTGTAACTAGGAATTATTTTGTTTGCTTTATGTCTCGGAGGCTGTAGTCTCTTTTGTTCATCATATTCTCAGGACTTAACGTCCTGAGATCATGCATGAGAAAATGAAGGGCCGCTGCTTGTTAGGTGAAATTAGTACCTATCGTTAGGTATCAAGAGATCACGCTTAGCTTTCCAAATTATTTTGGGGTTTTGGTTTTGTCTTGGTTTGTTTTGTTTTGGTTTGGTTTGGTTTGGTTTGGTTTGGTTTGGTTTGGTTTGGTTTGGTTTGGTTGGCCATACTGGGGACTGAATCCAAGACTTTCACAGCTGAACTATATCCCCAGCCCTTTCTTTAAGGTTCTGTTTTTTGTTTGTTTTTTAAGACAGGGTCTTTCTAAGTTACTGGTGCCATGTTTGAACTTGCAGTCCTTCTGCTCAGCCTCAGCCTCTCAGAATGCTGGGGTTATATGCATGCACCACCACACCTAGCTAACTGATTTTTAACCCTGGTTTTTGTTTCTTCTCTATTAGCCGCATCATCAAAAATATTTATGTACAAATGTGTGGTACAAATATGAAGCAATATTCTAGTTTGTTTTTTTTTTATTTTTCCTTACTTGTGCTGTTGGGATCAAACTCTTGGCCTTGTGTATGCTGGGCAAGTGTTCTGCCATGAACTATATTCCTAGCCCTACAGAAACATTTAATAAGGAAAAAAATCTGACTTGGAAGAGTCTGTAGGACCAACTGATAGATAATTTTAGACACGTTTTGTTCACATAACATTACTGCAACAATGTGGAGCTAGCAGAGACTCCAGGTCCTAAGCTGTGACCCTCAGCTATCTTTCGTGGCCATGAGATTCCAGGGCCATGGCGTATCTGGACACACCCTAGAGGTTCCTGGTTAACAAGATTTGACCTGAACTTTTAAAGACCAAGTAATTCTTCATACTCG